TGGCTAAGGCGCCAATGATCCAGCGAGGTGGAGGTGTCGGAACCGAGCCCATCTGTGACCAGGTGTAAAATCCTTGGAGTCAACTTTGTGTGCTGACTCTTTCAGTGTTGTCACAACCACTAGTGTACAGTACACAAGCCTGTGCAATTAAAAGAACCCATGAATCCGTTGGTATATGACCAGATGGTGGCCACATGCTCCCCGGGGAGTTGAGATTGATGATACGATGTGCCATTGAGATTGATTTCCAATGATCGAGGGGTGAAAAATACCAGCGCCTTGAGCAAGTACTAGTTGCGTGGATATATGTGCTATATAAATATCCAATAATAATAATGTATAATCATTCAGAAATAGAATTTGTAATAATCATTTAGAATTTGTTATCAGCAGCCCATGCTTGTGCTAAGAGGCGACAACGGGATCGGGTGGTCAGACTCGCCGACTTGGTTGACACATGTCATCATATCCCAATTGCGTAGATTGATGCTCATGATGTTGATTACTGGATTATCTGGCCCAAACTTGATATTTACAGACCACTGCCATATAACTTATACACAAGAGACCAGACGAGAATAAGTATAAAACATCCACCTCAAGTCTAGAAATTAAGCATCATTCTGGGCCTCATTCCACTGTTGTGGATAGGTTTTGAAATATGATGGCTTTGTTTCTGCATTAAATGTTGAGTCTACAGGGAAATGTGCAGTTTGTGTAGATGTCAAGTAATAATGACTTAATGACTTATACAGAATGACTTAATAGACTTATATAGAAAATATTGCTGAGAGTAGCACAACACACAAGTATGGAATTTCTGAACGTGTTTTATACCAGGAAAAGGTCATGTCCCTGATAACATCAGTGTTTTCAGAATCCTAGTTTTTTGACAAAGGAGTCTAAATGACCCCTAGAAAATCTCCGCAGAGATTGTAACACTCCTCTTGGTCGACACATGGACTGTTGTCTACGACTATTTCTTGTACTGGTTATCATGATGATAATTCTAATCTGTGTTCCACACCTAACAGCTCTTCCCAGCCATGTCTCTGGCACTGCTGCTGCCCAGGGATGTTTTCACACCCAATGTTGGCTCGGTGCCACAAACTCACATGCTACAAAGAGGACGAAAACCTGCAGTAAATATTATTGTTGTGTTAACACTGGTACTTAGTTTGACATGTTTGACTGTGAGCACCAAGGTGTGATGAGGTTGATGTTTTACAATCCATATGATTGAACTGGTACTCAGTTTGACATGTTTGACTGTGAGCACCAAGGTGTGATGAGGTTGATGTTTTACAATCCATATGATTGAACTGGTACTCAGTTTGACATGTTTGACTGTGAGCACCAAGGTGTGATGAGGTTGATGTTTTACAATCCATATGATTTAACTGTTACTTAGTTTGTGAAGCAGTAGAAAATATGGATGTAAATAAAACAGGATTTCAAGAAATATTTTGCCAAGTCGGCAGAATATTTTTGTCTCTTTTAAACATGAAGTATTTGATTTTTCCAAGAAGGAGATATGACTAATCTGAGGATGAAATAACATTTTGAAAGATGGTCTATAGGTTACACAGGAATTTATTCCACTCTGTCAAAAAAAAGTTTGTTTCCCAGGTATTCAGAGCAACCTACAGCATCTAGTAGCTGGAATATGAAAGATGAGGAATACCCCAGAAAAATGCAAGAATTCTATGAGCACTTGGCAATAAATATTAAGACAGTTTTACACTGGGCCACTGATATGGTTAATTGCAAAGGCCAGTTGCATTCCTTGATTTTACCATGGTTGCCATTGGTTACATAGATGAGCGTTTAAAGTTTGTCATCTATGGAAGCATCCTGAGGCAGAGGTATGAGGGTAAGCTGAGAGTGGAACCGAACAAATGTCCCCTAGCCCACTTTGTAGATTTAGATTCTTTCATATCTCTAGCAGTGAGTGAGTGAGTGAGTATGGATGTACGATGCTTTTTAGCAATATTACAACAACATCACGGCGGGGACACCAGAAATGGGCTTCACACATTGTACCCATGTGGGAAATTGAACCCAGGTCTTCAGCATGACGAGCAAATGCTTTAACCACTAGGCTACCACACCGCCCGTCATATCGGTATCAAATCATGATAATGAAAATAATTTAGTTTTTATCATTAGGAGGCAAACTATTTACACAGTGTTTTTATGTCATCATGTGTCTATAATAGTGGTGGTCCGATTAATTGAAATAATCGAAGATTGGTCGCAGTGACTAAACAACCAAGCAATCGATCATGCTTTCTCATAATCGAACACAAACAATTCTGGAACACTTGTTTTCATTAACAGTATTTTTCACTAGGTTGGTTTTGTCTGTTACATTTCATACCAAATATGAAAAGCTACAAGTTCGTTTCAAGTCATGATTGGATTTATCTTAAAGACTCTAAGAAGTGTATGTTCCTAACATACTAGTCATCCTTTAAAGATGTGAAATTTTGCCCCAAAACCCCAAGGAACTACATGTTTTTTTCCTTATTTTTTGTGCATTAACAAATTTCATAAATGACACTAACCAATTATTTTCGATGATTGATCGGTTGTAATGAACCAGTTATCAATTATGAGATTTTAACCAATTCCCAACACTAGTCTGTAATCCCTGCAATGATTGTGGCTAGAACATGCCCTTGACAACCTATTCTGTCTGGTTACAGCTACATAGGGGGCAGTGGGGTAGTCTAGTGGTTAAAGCATTCGCTCCTCACGTCGAAGGCCTGGGTTCGATTCCCCACATGGGTTTAATGTGTGAAGCGCATTTCTGGTGTCCCCTGCCATGATGTTGCTGGAATTTTGCTAAAAGCGGTGTAAAACCCAACTCAATTACTCACTCACTACAACTAAATGGATTGGGTTGTCTGGAGTTGCAACATTGTTGGATGGTATCATTGTAATCCGATTGTGTGGATTGTCCCTTGTACCCCCGTATTTCTTTGATTCAGACTGAGTTATTTTCAGGGTGGTGTTATAGTTGGATCATTGCAGAGTGGCTGTATTAAACATGTTAAGGCCAGACCAATTTTATTTCTTGTTTTACAGATTTTTGTCCTCAGAAAACCTAAAGGCAGGAGGGGAAAAAAAACAAAAAATAAATAAATACAAGAAGTATTTTACTTTTGGCAATTTATTAAGTGTATATGGGACAAAACACAATCTGGGAAAAACTTTTTGTGTAAATTTAAATTTTTCACCAATAAACATCAAACACACACACACACACACAAAAAAACCAAAAACAAAAACAAACAAAAACATTAGGATTTTACTTTGTGAGCTGGGAAAATTACCTTTTAGTTTTTTTCTTATTCTTGAAAAAATATGACCGGCGGATCCGTAAAACAAAAGAAATAAAATTGGTCTGGCCTAAACAACAAACAAAACACAATACTGTAAGCATCAGTTGTCCTTGTACTTCTGGCACCTGTCCTAGTACACTCGATATGCAGGTGTACACAATACTGCTGTCTGAAAAAAATAACACATTTATCTCTGTGTAGCCAGTTAATGAAGCAGAAAAACTCCTCCAGACGACATTCCACTAGCAACTGTCAATAAACTATTATTATACTTGAGAAGTTTCCCGAGGAATAAACAGCTAAAGGGAAGTGATAAGTACTGAGACAGTCCTTTGTAAATGTTATTTAATCTTATGTCAAAGCTCTCAAGTAACTCTATGTATAGTAGTGATGACAATAGGACTTGAACATGTTTATGCAAGCTTGAAGCAGAAAGTTGACATAATTGGCATTTGAGTAAGTGGTAGGTGTTATTTATGCTTTGGCAACAATGGGGCAAGTCTCTAAGTACACATGAACAATCTTTTGTCAAAATGAACACAATGACCTCAAATTGCCATAAGTGCCAAGTTGTCACCATTCCCATCAAAGGCTTAACTGTTTCATGTATTCTCAAGCTTTAAGCTAAATGTTGACCTAATTTGCATGTAAGTGGTTGGTATCAGATTATATACTTCAGCATGTCCGTGCAGTCTGGAGTTCAGTACTATATAAGTGGGCAATTATCATTATTATTATTAAGCCTTGTTTAGTGACAAGCAGGAATTCAGCAATTCAGCAACTTAGCAGATGCAGACTTTTCCATATCCATTGTCTGTGTAAGTGTCATCCTACTTGCCATCCTTCCCCATGGTCCTGTAGGTGGCCAGTGCCGGAACCTGTTGTACATACAGCCGCTGGTATGCGGATATGGTATCTGATCCTGTTTGTCACCTCTTACCACGAGGATAATCTACGGCAGCCCATGCTTGTCGTAAGAGGCGACTAACTGGAATCAGGCTTAAATTTACTTACTTGGTTGACACATGTCATCGTATCCCAAATGGGTAGATCGATGTTCATGGTGTCAGTCATTGGATTGTCTGGTCCAGATGCGATAACTTAGAAACTGCCATCATATAGCTTGAAAAATGCTGAGTCAGCATTAAATAACAAACAAAACAACAAATGTGCCAGCACTTGCCTCTTTGGTCAAATGCTTGCTTAGCAGTTGTCTGATTTAATGCTAGCTTGTGCTGAATATTATTACCATAGGGTAGAGTGAGTGAGTGAATATGATGTTATCTGCTTTTAGGAATATATCATGACAAGGGCCCTCAGAAATAGGCTCATATATTGCCTAGGTGGAGAGTAATTTGGTGAAACTTGAAAGATTGATATTCAGCAGACAGACCTAAAAACATGAGCGAAGGGAATAATAGATATGAGCCTAAGATGATAGGTTCCTGTCACCTCTAAGGGAGGCAAATCTGAACAGCAATTTGTAGCACCTGACAACCTATGCCTTTCATTCAATAGAAAGCTGTTACAAGGAGAAGATAAATGTTTCATGCTTGTTTTGGTTTTTGGAACCCTTTTCACATGGCATATTCAAGTTCGAAGGGTATATTGAGTTGGAGATGGTTGATTGTGACCATGACCTTGCTATTTCAGACTCGTGGGTGGAGCTACAGAACCAGGCCATGGCTGCTGGTGAACCTGTGCCATCAGTATATAATGGAAACCTGGAGAAACTCCTGATTGAAGCCCAGAGAGAGTCCCGCACACCCTCACGCCCAAACAGCAAGGAGTCCTCGGCCAGGGGCAGGTAGGTATCATTCAGTTATGGTAGGATGTCATGGAAATTCTAAAGTTAAATTGCAGATAAAATTGATCCTCGGCACCCCATGCTTGTCGTAAGAGGCGACTAACAGGATAGGGTGGTCAGGCTCGTGGACTTGGTTGATGTTTGCCATCATATATCCCAGTTGTGTTGATCAATACTTATGCAAACAATCACTGGATTGTCTGGTCCAGATTCGATTATTTACAGATCACAGCCATATAGCTAGACTATTGCTAAATGTGGCATTAACCACAACAACACTGCAACAACAGCAACCACACACTTTAAACAACAGCTAAATATGGTCATGTGGTCATTCTTAAATATGACTTGTCAGCTTTAGGTCAAATCATTATATGCGAATTATGTATTTTTCTTGGCTTGTATTACCCGTGAAGGTCTGGGTTAGAATATTGATCTTCAGTAACCCATGCTTGTCATAAGAGGCGACTAAAAGGATCCGGTGATCAGGCTCGCTGACTTGGTTGACACATGTCATCAGTTCCCAATTGCGCAGATCGATGCTCATGCTGTTGATCACTGGATTGTCTGGTCCAGACTTGATTATTTACAGACCACGCCATATAGCTGGAATATTGCTGAGTGCAGCGTAAAACTAAATTTACTCACTCACTCACTCTTGGCTTATATCTTTTACCTGTGTTCAAGTTGACTTTCCTGATCCAACATAATACACCAAAATATGAGATGAGCCACCAAACCCGGCTGCTCACATGTTTGGTGTGTGGCATGCATTATGTGGGATTCAGTGATCTGAATATTTTAGCTAACTCACATTTGTATTGTGTCATTGTATTCATACAACAAAAAGGCTATGCAGTCTCCTAATAGAATAACTACCCCTCGATACCCTACACTCCCCCTTGTGGGGAGGGGCAAGATTGACATTTTTAATCAGAAATACTGTTATCTAAAGTAACGTTATAACTGCAAATACAGTGAAGCCCCCGTTAGTCCGACTCCGATAATCCGGATGTCTCAGCCTCGGATGATTTCAGCTTGTTACCAATCTATGCCTATATAATTTGCCTCGATAATCTGAAATTCGCTTTCGAACCGGACGGTAAAGTAGCTGTCACCAATCAGTAAAATAAACAGTAAATTGCTTCACAGTCCGACGCTGTAAGTCGTGTTCACGAACCGTAACAACACCTCCGCGATGTTTACTTAATTAACTGGCCAACTGGGTTGTTGTTTTAATTAGACATTAAAAGCTCCCGACTGAAGATGCTGTACATTTACACTTTGATTGACACCACAATACAAAGGCGTGGATGACAAGTGAGCTGTTTTGTGATTGGTTAATGTACTTTGACAGACAGATGCGGTGACGCGGACTTAAAGTGATTTTGCTTTTACGACAATGCTGCAAGTCACAAGTGTGCTTCGCTAACTTTATGCTAATGTGACCAAATACCACGTCCTCATATACAACCAATGGATGCAGGAATAATTCAGACATTCAAGGCATACTACAATATATCGCTTGTTAGACATTACCTCACCTGTGCTGAGGAAGGACGTGATCAGACAAGTCGGATCAACATGGGATGTCACTGCAAAATTATTGATGTGATGAATTAAGCTTTACATTAAATGCTTATTTGTTTTATCCAGATTCGTGTCGCTTTTGTAATAGTTGGGGAAGCAACTTGGGTCTTGATTCAGTAGTCCGACTATTCGCAATCCGGACGAATTTACTGAGAAACGCAAACCGTCCGATTAACGAGGCTTCACTGTATAAGAACTAAAATCCAAATGGTCAGACCAGGGTTTTACGTAAAACACAGAAATGTGAGTCCAGTGAGCACAAACATCCATAATGGAAGGAGAAAAAATAATGTATATCGCACCCCGAGAGACACAGAATTATGTTCAATGTTGTACCAAATTCTCAACCAAAACTATGAAGTTTATCTTATAAATGTAATCATTACATTTTGAAGTACACTGCCCTGCACTATTTCATTACATTACAAGACCCTCAAATTTCCTGTATGGATAATTGAAATTTGGTTTGGGGGTCCTCGGGACACTCATTTTTGTAGAGCAAGGTAAAACCCAGACAGTCCCTAATTAAGCTTCAAATTCCTTAAGAGGAAGCAATCAAGACTTTGCCAAATCAGTGTTGACTTGTGTTGGCAGACCAGGCAATTGCCTAAATATGTAAACTGTGTAAATTGTTATAAAGGGCAGGGCTTTTCATGTCCACTCAAGAGGTCCAGGCGAACATGCCACAAAGCTGCCACTGTGTCCCATTAGAGCTATTGTCGGAGCACATGACTATTTCCAGCCTGCTCTAGCTGCATGTCCACAGGAAGACTGACCACTGCCTGACACATTCTTGACCATACAGAGCAGGGCAATTGATGAATCCCATGAATAAAGAATGAACCTGTGGACATTGTGTCACTCTGACCCAGACCTGACCTTGTGGACATTGCACAGGTGTGCATCATGTTTGAAATTATTTTTGAGTGATAAAGGGACACCTGATTACCTTTTTCACAGAGTGAAAGATGCTATTTTCAGGTGTTACCATGGTTACTCTTAATCCACCCAGATGTGGAACATGGGTCATTTTAGTATAGATGATTGTGTAAACGATGTTTATTGGCCATATTTTACAGGATTGGGTTTTTAAAATTATTTTTAAGGGGGTGGGGTTTGGGAGGAGGGTGGGTGGTTGTAAAATTTAATGAATTGTAACCTATTTTTTAAAAGGTGCGGGATCCATAAAACCTCAAACTCTTAGTGATACTACTTGAATGATTTTTATCTTCCTCAGATTTTTCAATTTATCTTCTTGAGACATTTCAATCTGCCATTGTAAAAGAATTATAAAATATGATAAAAGGCAACAGCTGTATTGAGAGAGACTTTCACTGACACAAAGGCAGTTTTTGCTTCGTAGCTCAGTGTAAGGTGTTTTTTATCTCACTAAGATTTGGTTTGGTTTGGTTTACTGTTTTACACAGCACTCAGCAATATTCCAGCTACATGGGGACAGTCTGTAAATAATCAAGTCTGGACCAGACAATCCAGTGATCAACAGCATGAACATCAATCTACGCAACTGGGATACAATGACATGTGACAACCAAGTCAGCAAGCCTGACCACCCGACCCCGTTAGTCGCCTCTGACAACAAGCATGGGTTACTGAGACCAATTCTAACCCGAATCTTCACAGGTTCTCTCACTAAGAAATCCACATGCTGTTATCTTTAACGATGACGTAAAACAGATATATTCACCTGCTCAGAAATTTATATCCTACTCACATAGGATACATAGTCTCTTATCAAGAACCGATCTCAATATTCCGACAGGGAGGTAAAATACATGTTTATAGCCCTCTCTAACAGGTCGATCAGGACGGTGCACTCAGGCTGAAGGAGTCGTTGTCGGCACAGGTACTACAGATACGTACCCCAGGTACGTTTCTGTATACAGACATGCACCCTAAACAAAGTAAAAATACAGAAACGTACCCGCTATCGTAAAAGGCGGAGGAGTCCATATTCCGCAACCCAAAACCGAAACCGTATGTAGTTGTTCCCGTTCAACTGATTCCGAGTGGTATTCATATGCATCGCGAAATATCCGTTACTGTGTATACTCATTACTTACATAACGCAATCAAATGTATCTAATACAACAGCATGACAGTTCCAATCAAGAATATGACACAATGGGAATGGAATCGTCCTAGGGTACGTTTCTGTATTCCCATTATGGCCAAGGTACATATCTGTAGTACCCGTGCCGACAATGACCCCTTCAGCTGCACTCAGCCATACTGGCCTGTGGTCAAATAAGTTCAAAGTAAAATATTGATGTTTTTATTTCTGCCTGATTGACCCAAAGCATGGACACAATAGATGCAGCTGGACAGAACTATTTTGGAAACTGCTTCAAAGCAGTTAAGCTAGCCATCACCACAAATTAGTGTCCCTTGATGTAGATCTGCTCATGACCTTTTGTAAAGGTCACGTCCTGCTTGTGAAAGTAGAGGATATTAGGACTTTGAACTGTGGAAATGCCAAGTGTTTAGACATGACAACATTGAAGAGTGGCATAGGTTCAGAGTGTAAGTGTAGGACACAGATCATGTTGGTGACATTTCAAGATGCTCTCATCTGTTCTCTGAGTTTTTATTAAAACAGAAATTATCATCTTCTTATGTAAACTTAAAAAAATTGGTTTATCGATGTGACTTTTCGAATTCAATGGGAATTTCTGTCGGATTCTTGTTTTTCCTGTGTTTTGGCTGAATTATCAGAGAAGTACAAGATTCTGCTAGGCCAGTGAGCATGAAGTAGGAAAGATTTTTAATTTGGTAGACTTGGCAGAATTTTCCCGTCTAGGCAGCCTTGAATAAATCCCTGACTCCATAAAAACATTTTGACATGTTTCAATGACTGTAGGTCTGATATTCAGATTGAATGGAGATAGACATGGATAACTAATTAATAGATCACCGACTCACAGTAATATGTGAATGAGATAAGGGCAGCAGCTGCTGTCAGGCTTGGCTGCCAAGGCTCCATACAGGGTTCTGATCACAGCAGACGCCATATTGGCCAGACCTTGGAGGGGATTTTGTCAAAAAGTCCCTTGTAATCTAAAACCTGGGTTATAGAAATCTCAACAATTTCAAAGTAGTATTAAAAATATTCCATTCATTTGAAATGGAAAGAAATTATGAACAATGTTTACTTGCTGTGGACCTGAAACCAAGTAGTTGCAGTTGTGAATGCACAACAGTAACTAGGAATGCTCCACAGCCGATAGGAATGCACAACAACACCCAAGGAATACACAGCAGCCTCTAAGAATGCACAGACATACGGATCAATGATCAGACCACATCATCAACAATAAAATGCACATGCAAGTGCAATAAATTAATGTCCCATGTATTCATGTTGTACTACACAACTTGTCCTGGCCACAGAAATAAATATATCACCATTGTAAGCCCGGGCTTCCTCATACGATGTACTGAGACACACTGTGTGAGATGTTCTGCCACCATGTTGTTTTCTGTCCTTGATGCTGACAACAGGCATGTGTCTATCAGTGCACCATCTGGGAATATCGCCAGACCTTCACTGCACAACTTTAATATACTATTCACACTTTGCTAAGGTACAAATCTTGGATTCTACAGAAAACAATGATGTGGGGTTAAATTTGGTATAAGTATCTAAGCTTATTGTAAAAGTGGATCCCAGGTTTCAGTATGTCATTGCATCTTGTGGATCCCATACCTGTTGTTGACAGGTGTTGTGTACTTGTCAATGACTCGTTCCATTATCTGCAAAATGGTTGATTGGTGCCATGAAATCCATTTTTATGGTTACTCATGTATCAAGTACATACAGACAGATTAAAGTGGCAGTTTGCCTAAACAGGTGTTACCATATCATTATTTATCCAGTTTTAAATGGATACAATTTCAAATTATAAGTCTATGTTTAAGTAAAGTTGTGAATTTGTGTGATCCTTAGCAAAGTGTGAGAAGTATAGTTTAGTTTGGTAAAGTATCTATGTATGATAAGAGCATTTATAGTTAGTAGCTTCACGTCTCCTGCAGCAGCTATCTAGAAATACATCTTTAAGTTTTTATATAAATGATATATTCCTTTCAAACCTTGAGTGTTTAGTGAAAGGAGTGTTGCCATGGTTATTTCCATTCAGAATGAAACACTCTATTAATTTTCCACTTGTTGAGCTCGCCAATCAACAGTAATGAGGGAATTTGGTAAATTATATTCTTAGTTGGTGGGATGCATATGTTGTTTTGCATCCTCTGTAATTGAAAATGGTTTCCTGACTGTCCGACAATCTTGTAATGGGCGATGAGAACGTTAACGTTACTATACATCAGACAACGAATATATATGTAATTATCATCATTGGTAGCAAGACCCATCTGATTCTATTTTAATTAAAATGTAACACCTTGAGCATGCCCAAGTGCAAGGAAACTGACGCTTTATCAATAGCCATTATTAGTTTTTTTTTATCTTGATCAGGTGTGGCTGGGTAGCCTAGTGGTTAAAGTGTTCACTCATCACACCAAAGGCCTGGGTTTGATTCCCACATGGGTACAATGTGTGAGGCCCATTTCTGGTGTCCCCTGCTGTGATATTGCTGGAATATTGCTAAAAGCAGAGTCTGTCTTATATTTAAATAAAACAGTAGTTCACATTCCATTTTCCTCCTGTTCTCAGCTCAAGCAACTTACTCATCCATTTTTCAGCTCTTTGTTATAAGTGATTCTCTAGCGTTCTCTTGTCGCGCCAAAGACCCGGGTTCGATTCCCCACATGTGTACAGTGTGTGAAGCCCATTTCTGATGTCTCCTGCGGTGATATTGTTGGAATATTGCTAAAAGCGGCGTAAAACTCACTCACTCACTCACTCACTCATTTGTTATCAGAAACTACTGTTTGTTCCATAACATTCAAATATTTGTTTGTGGAAGTATACTAGTTTGACTTTATGAGATAAGAGATAAGATCTTATCCATTGCATAGCATTCCATGAAGGAACATTGGCAATATTGTATAAATTACAAATATAAACAATGTGCAAAGATTTTTATATAAGTATAATTTCTTACCATGAGTTATCTCTAAAAAAAGATACGATATGTGAGCCTACTGTGGCAGTATGACGGCTGTGATGGATGGATGTCCGGAAGCATGAGAGGAGCCGAGAGAATACATCAGGTCATTGACAGGTCAATGGACACATAGTTCTCATACTGGTCTGATGAGGTCACTCCCAACCTGTCTTTGTCCAAACCCCTACCTATATATACACATGTAACCAATGCAGATGAATCACTGTATCATCACAGGGACTAGTTAATGAAATAAGTGCTTTCATTTCATGACTCACCTGTGTAATTATCATACCCCCATCAGGATTCTATGTTAGATTAGAATTGATCTTCAGTAACCCATGCTTGTCGTAAGAGGCAACTAACAGGATCGGATGGTCTGGCTCGCTGACTTGGTTGACACATGTCATCAGTTCCCAGATGCGTAGATCGATACTCATGCTGTTGATCACTGGATTTTCTGGTCCAGGTTCGATTTACAGACCGCCACCATATAGCTGGAATATTGCTGAGTGTGGCGTTGAACAACCAACCAACCAACCATGTTGACCTTGTTCCCAGCAACCTGCTGGTAGTAAGTGGAGTGAGTGAGTATATGTTACTTCTCTGTTAGCAATATCCCAGCAATATTATGGTGGAGTAACAGAATATGGGCTTCATAAATTGTACCCATGTGGGGAATAGAACCCAGGTCTTCCGCTTGATGAGCGAACACTTTAACCACTTGGCTACCCACTGCCCTGGTTGTAAGTGAGTGAGTGAGTATGGTTTTTACGCCATTTTTGGCAATATTCAAGCAATATCACTGCGGAGGACACCAGAAATGGGCTTCACACATTGTACCCATGTGGGGATAGAGCTCGAGTCTTCTGCTTGACGAGCAAGGTCTTTAACCACTAGGCTACCCACTGTGCTAGTAGTGAGGTTAAGCTAAATACATTGGGTTCAGGAGAATGATGATGTCATACTCTGGCAGTGTGGGTCTTTCAAAACTTTAATCACTGCATTGTCTGGTCCAGACTTAACCATTTTCATGCCAGTACCATATAGCTGCAATAGTACCATGAGCTGCATTAGCCAGCAAATATCAAGGTTTTATAACAACAGGTCTCTTACTATGTCAATGAATTAAGACATTCCAAAGTAACCATGGACCATTGTTGACTGTCCTGCGGACTTTCTGTAAAGAAATTTCTAAATATGCTGCAAGTCGTCTTCCCATAGGTCAGCGTGACCTTGTTTCTTTCCAACTCAGCTATGCCAGCAGTGTGTGCTAGGAAGGCGACAGATATGTGCTGACTCAGCTAAACAGCCTGCGTATGACATTTACAGAAATAATGGGAAAGTAATTGTTTTTCATGTTTATGAAAGATTTTCTTGTCATTTTTTACCATAATTCCAAAACAGCAACTGATTCTTATCAATTACAATACATGACTGTTACCAAATACTCAATGTTTAATTCATAAGTCGGATTTGGTATACCTACACCTCGGACATTGTGTTTTCCATATACATGTGGTGTTCCTGCCTGCATCTGGTGCAAGTAACCATGGCAACTGGGACTGTGAACATGCCTCTTTTCCCCTGGCATGAGGACTGTACTGGAAGTGCAGCCTCTTGCATGACCTGCTGTTGGGACACACTGCACCTCATGTGGATATTTACCAGGGCCAAACAGAACATGTGCAGTGATGAAGGCAGCAGTCAATTTATGAAACATTAACAGAAAATAATAGCACAATTTATTATTATTTGCTTTTGAAGTATTTCATCATACATGTATTCTATTCAAAAGTGTACGTTGTCATGATAGCTTTGTACATTTTACTGTGCAGAGTTACCTCCCTTGGGCATGCAGGCAATCTGAGTGAGTGAGTGAGTTGGGTTTTATGCCACTTTTTGTAGTATCACAGCTAGTGGATAGCTGAAATTGGCTTCAATGTATGCATGTGGGGAATTTTAACCAGATCTTTGGTGTGATGAGTGGGTGCTTTATCCACTTGGTGGGTACAATGTGTGAAGCCCATTTCTGGTGTCCCCCGCCAAATATTGGTGGAATATTGCTAAACGCAGCGTAAAACCATACTCACTCACTCAATTATCCACTTGTCTACCCCATCACTCGCTTTTAGCAATATTCCAGCAACGTCACGGCGGGGGACACCAGAAATGGGCTTCACACATTGTACCCATGTGGGGAATCGAACCCGGGTATTTGGCATGACGAGCGAACACTTCAACCACTAGGCTACCCCACCGCCCCTAGGACACCTGAAGCCTAAGTTACCCTGGTTATGTGGTTGCTGTGTTGGTGGGTTTCAAGGACGTGCCCAGGGGCGGATACAGCTTTTTTAGTAAAAGGGGTGGGGGTTGTGCATACTATTGAGAAAAGGGAGGGTGACATTTCATTTTCACGCGAGTTTCAATGGTCATTTAATGAACTTTCAGGACAAAAGGGGGATGCGCACCCCTGCACCCCCCTTCTGGGTCCGCCTATTGTGCTAGTCCTAAACCTGCACCACTTCAGTACAGCGCTGTATTTGTGTACAATTGTTCCTCAGGAGCCAATTCTGACAGAGGCCACTAATGAGAAAGGATTAGGTCAGAGACCTGGTTGATGGATTTCATTATATCCCAATTGCATAGATCGATGCCAATGATGTCGGTCACGGTTGGTCTCATCCTAGACTAACAACTAGTCTCTGAAATGGACATATTTTACAGAAACAAAGTACATAGTAAAAAACAAAATAAAATATGATGAAAAGGAGCCCTGAGACTTTCTTCATTCCTGAAACTGTGGAAATCTAATCTTGCCACATTTTCTAGACTTGCGTGGGCTTTCTTGGATATATTTGCTTCAGGGTCTGTATGACTGATTAGTCTCATCCAGACGTGATATTTTATTTTTCACAAACTTGTAGAGGGTGTTGAATCCTTGTCTGACATGTGTATAGGTACAGTCGGCCTTCTAGAAACCTCTCAACCAATGTAGTCTATCCCAGTATCAATAAACAAAGGGGAATAACTCAAGTACTCTGGTTGATGCATACCATCAATAAAAACCTAGAAACAACACTACACATTTCACTAGACATTTCAATATGCTGCCACTAAAAATCATCAGAAATAAACTTATATACTGAAACATATCAAGAACATTAAACTAAACCCATTCTTTATATCATGAAGCTAAAATTGTTTTTCTACTTTTCAGCCCCAAAAGCCCACACAGTCCCAACTCAGAATGGGCCGCGTCAGACTGGAGATCCAGAACTGTAAGTATAAGTCAGCATCAACCCCTACACACACACTATAAGTTGCAGAATTATTATTGGCTTTTCAGTGGCAACAAGTTTGACTTAGCCTGAAATTGGTGGTAGTGCTCTTTTCCGGAGCTGAACTCTAAAACCGTTCATTTTTATTATAACAGGATCAGGGTGGTCAGGCTTGCAGACTTGGTTGACACGTGTCATCATATCCCAGCTAATTGAGGCTCATTATGTTTGTTGATCACTGGATTGTCTGGTCTGGACTTGATTATTTACAGACCGCCGCCGCCATATAGCTGAAATATTGCTGAGTGTGACGTCAAACAACCAACCAACCAGTGCAATTGACTTCACTTACTCCTGTTGCTTCCTGACATAGAATCAACCAATTCTCTTGATTTCTCCTTAACTGATTATACAACAAGGAATATATTTTTCACCTAGATACAGTAGAGGTATTGACATACCACTCCTGGATAAGTTGTAACTCACTGCTGTCTGTTACTCGTCACGACCCTGTAGCAGGTCACTGTTAACGATACCACCTTCGTACATGCTTTGTCTTCACCTTCTATCCTCCAACTTCCTCATTTCCGTATTTTGACAAGCATTTTTCCATCAACAAGGAAAGCTGGATACAAGAATCTGTAAGCTCTATAAATAGGAACTGTTAGTTCAAATGACTTGGCAACTCTTTCTTATGATGTTGTTTGTTAACACAAGCTCAGCCTAATCTTTGACAAATATTTTGAGTCGATGGCGCCAAGTGTTGTTGTGAACATGGTGAAGCGGTTGTTTGTTCCTGAACAACCTGGTGGCATGGAACAGTGCTGCATGCCGTGTTGTAGCATTCCAACATGGTTGACATTGTTGTCGTGTTGTTATGTTGTCAGTGTCAGAGAAGTCTGGGTCATATTGCCAGGGTGACCACTCTGTATTAACTGACTGTGTGTTAAATGTCTAGTGATTGACTACAGTGTGTTACAATAGACTACAGTGTCCTGTGACTGTCTGTAGTGTGACATTATACAGTTGACTACAGTGTCCTATGATTGACTACAGTGTGTTACAATTTACTACAGTGTCCTATGATTGGCTACAGTGTCCTATGACTGGCTACAGTGTCTTACAATTGACTACAGTGTCCTGTGATTGACTGTAGTGTGTTACAGTTGACTACAGTGTCCTGTGATTGACTACAGTGTGTTACAATTGACTACAGTGTCCTGTGATTGGCTACAGTGTCCTGTGATTGGCTAGGGCATGTTACAATTAACTACAGTGTCCTATGATTGGCTATAGTGTCCTATGACTGGCTACAGTCTCTTACAATTGACTACAGTGTCCTGTGATTGGCTACACTGTGTTACAATTGACTACAGTGTCCTGTGATTGGCTAGGGCATGTTACAATTAACTACAGTGTCCTATGATTGGCTACAGTGTCCTATGACTGGCTACAGTCTCTTACAATTGACTACAGTGTCCTGTGATTGGCTACACTGTGTTACAATTGACTACAGTGTCCTGTGATTGGCCAGGGCATGTTTCAATTAACTACAGTGTCCTCAGTGATTGGCTACAGTGTCCTATGATTGGCTACAGTGTGTTACAATTGAGAAATCTCATGCCTGACTAAGGTGTCTTATGACTGTCTTCAGAATGGTACAGTGATCACAGTCTGATTATTTTCCATGGTATCTCATGATTGACTAGGGCGTCTTTTGATATGGCTCCAGCCCTTTGTGATCCATTTTCAGCTCAAGGTTGAAGCCTTCACTCATACCATTCGGTTTAAACAATATTTATTTCCTTTGATGACATATGTATACATTTACACATAACCAGGTTTTAGGGATTGGCAAACAGGCAAAATTGCCTATATTAATGCCTCTCCCCACATAATACGGAGCATATATACACAGATGTCACTCATTAATCAGAGGAAAACAAAACACACATCTACATTAATAATCCGCTTATGTGGCGCTCATATGCAGGCACATTGCCTGCTCACGACGCTATGTACATTACTATCCCCAGTCATAGGACACTTTCATACTTTCCAAATTTTTTTAACTCCCTGGGAAGCATACAGCCATGCTGCCTGTTAGGCACAATGAACTAAGCACTCACATTCCCAGCACATGCTCACGGGTACCCATTTTACAGCTTGGTGAACTGAGACACATGTCATCATATCCCAATTGCGTAGATCGATGCTCAGACTGTTGATCACTGGATTTTCTGGTTCAGACTCAATTATTTACAGACCATAGCCATATAGCTGGAATATTGCTGAGTGGTGTTAAACAACAAACAAACCCTTGGTTCAAACACTAAAGAAATAAACCCAAACTCCCCAGAACCCCTCGATTTGAAGACTCTTTATACAGACCAGTTGCTGTTAAAACCATGACATCTACTATGTCCACAGTACCTTGGCATCATTTTTGTCTCAGAACTGAGCTTGTAATGATCCAATGGGACTGACGGGGCTGCTTTGTTAGACAAGACAGTGCTTGCCTCAGCTGTTACTTGGATGCATCAGATGTCGCAGTCAGATGTGTCCTTGTCAGCAGGAATCCAGTAGATTGTGCACATCCTGTGTATGATTTACTGCTCATAGGACTGACTGGGAAGTAGATCCTGATAGTCTCACTTAAACACACAACAGCTTGCAGAGAATTTCATTAAATATTATCAAACACATCCCATACTCATTCCCTTTCTCAGTTCTAGCAATCTATACTTTTCCCCTTTTCTGCTTTAGGAGCCTATACTCATCACCTTTCTCAACTCCAAGCAGTCTATACTCATCCCCTTTTTAACTCCAAGCAGTCTATACTCATCCCTTTCTCAGCTCAAGAATCCTATACTCATCCCTTTAGCAGCCTAAATGAACCCCCTTTCAGTTCTAGCTGCTGATTCTGACCCCTTTTCAACCCTTGAAGCCTAAACTCCCTAATCAGTTATGGATGGGGTCTTTAAAGGACCCAGCTTGAAATGGGGATTGAATAGTCTTGGCATTAACTATGCATCAGCTTCAGTTTGTGGTGGATTCCCATAAAGAGAATGTCAAACTGCTGTGGCAGTTTCCTACAGATATAACTAGGTGATGATAAGCAATAATACACCATCACAGATTATTGATTGACTGGAATAAATGCTTTATGTTATCACCATTGAACATAAAAGTGGCAATTTTGTAGCTTTATTAAATTGGGTTTTTTTCAGAGTGGTTAAAAAAAGTATTTCAATATTCCAAAGCTTATATGAAGTCTAGACCATAAAGCCTTGTATTACACATTGCACTGCTGTCTTCTAAAATGTTGTTTTTGCTGGTTTCATTTCAGTTTGATTTAATGCAGATATTCCAGTCATTGCATGGCACTAAGTAATACAAAGCCAAGCAGATGTTCCTTACATTGTGAAATTGATAACTGTAGTTTGTGGAAGCAAATGATATATTGTTATTGACGCTATCGATTATCCTTTCTTTCTTCAAAGTAATTTGCTGTGGACATTTCTCGTTATCATCGCTGTCACTGTTATCAGTTTTAGTTATCAAACGGAATTGTGTTTTGTTTCTCTTGCAAATTATGAATTGTTTATGTACATGCTGTGTTGTCATCCAAATAATTGAAGAAGTTAGTTGGTTCAAGACCATTTGCGCATAAAAGAGGAAATGAAACATTACCAACATCTTCTCTCAGGCACATAGTTGATATATCCCTTTATACAACTAGAGTGCATTATGGCCATTGGTTGCGCGGTTCTTTATTCCTTGTAACGACCCTAGTAAGTGCATCACACCTAAGGTCAAGCCCATATCACCCTTGAGGAAGGTGCTAACTTATCTGTATAAAATCGTTAATGAATCTATTAAAAGATGTGAGCAGGTTGTATTGCCAAGATCTAAAACAGGATGAACATGAGAACATAAACAGGATGAACGTGAGAACCATGAACAGCAGAAACAGCGTGAACGTGAGACCATAAACAGGGTGAACGTGAGACCAGAAACAAGATGAACATGAGGCCATACTCAGGATGAATGTAAGACCATAAACGGGATGAACATTAGACCTTAAACAGGATGAACTTGAGACCATTAATAGGATAAACGTGAGACCATAAACAGGTTGAACTTGAAGCGATAAACAGGATGAACATGTCCTGCCCAGATGGTCTGGTCTACCACAAACTGAATGGTTGTCAAAAGTAGACTTTCTGTCTGGGGCCAAATAGGTCACCAATACCAGGAATACCTCTTGCTTGTCCTTGGAGCTGACTGACGAGGATGAGTGATGGCGGTTGGGATACGGATGACATGCCAACTGATCCCGTTAGTCAACTCTTACAACAGGCATGGCTTGTATGACAAGCACTAATGCTGAACCAGTTCTCTGTGCTTTACTTTTGCTTACCTTGTGGAACTGATTAAAACTGACAGTAAATGTTAGCATTGGGAACATTTTTGTTGTCTTTATAAAGCAGGACTAGATGAAATATTGAAGGCTAGTGAAATCAAATTTTCACTTGTAATAGTCTCCTGGACTAGACATTTAGAAAGTTAAATTTCTAAGGCTGATGATTTGTCACCATGGTCAAGATCAGTGACTGGGGCATATACTGGAAGGAGGTTGTCAGGATCGGCAATAGTCTGTCTCACAGTCCCTAAACCACATTATTTTCCCTACTGCTAAAGCCCTAGATGAAGCAAGTCTAGATTTCCTCAGGTTCTGAATCTCTGGTCTGTCTTGGGCTTCTTTTCAATTTAAATGGGTTTGTTTGTTACTAGCAAAATTATATATATTCAGAGACTAAGCATTAGTCTAGATCGGCAACTGTGGCTTATACTTGAATCAGGTGGTCAGTGCCTGGATTGATTGCATGTCCTTGAACCTTGATGTGTGGGTGTTCACTTACGATATCGTAAGAGGCGACTCTTAAAGGGGATCGGGTGGTCAGACTTGCTGACTTGGATGACACATGTCATTGGTTCCCAATTGCGTAGAACGATGCTCATGCTGTTGATCACTGGATTGTCTGGTCTAGACTCGACTATTTACAGACCACCACCATATAACTGGAATATTGCTGAGTGCTGTGTAAAACTAAACTCTCTCACTCTTAATCAAGTGTGACTTAAGCAACAAAACAAACTCACCCATAGTGACACAGAGTAACATTTGCTCTCTGGTGTTCTTCTATCACAGAATCACCACCGTAATAATCATGTTCCACTTTTAGAGTGACCCTGCCATTCAACCCACTCTCATCCTCACTGATCAATGACCACAGTCCAACTGGCCATGGGTAATTACAGCTGTTAGTGCACAGCTGTCCCAGGTCAAGGCTAGTCCACAGGGACTTGAGACCACTTGTAGAGTGTGTTTGATCAGAGATTTTCCTAACATAAATATTGAAGATAGGTCTTTCTGCTGTCAATGTTGGAACATGTGTTGTTGATATACGACCTCAGTGGGCATTTGAAGCCAAAACAAGTGACGTGTCCTGGCAACCGTGTTGTAATATTTGACAAGGATTGGAAATTGTATAATAAAATTGTTTGCATGGTTTGGTACACTTTTGGAGACCTATCATCACATGATGTATGCAAAAATTAATTAATAAAAATACTGTGTATATTGAATCTAATTTACATTTTTACTATTATATCTGTGTTTGCAGGAGGACCCCGGTACAGACTGGATCTGGGACTGGTCAAGCCGTCCAGAAGTGCTGCAACCAGGGTCAGATTTCTTACCATTCCAAATAATCCTCTGTGGTCTTTCTTTAAAGTTTTAGAACATAAGGCCACACCAGTTTTATTTCTTGTTTTACGGATTTGTGTCCTCAGGAAAACCTAAAGGCAGGATGGGAAAGAAAAAAAAAATCACCAGTCAAAGTAATATTCCTTTTCAATTCTAAAAGCATTTTACTTTTGGCAATTTCTGAAGTGTATAGGGGCAAAAAAACAATCTAAAACAATTTTTTGTGTAAGTTTGCATTTTTGGCAAATAAAAACATTAGGATTTTATTTTTTGAGTGGTGAAAATTAAATATATTTTTTTCTTATTCTTGAAAAAATACAACCGGCAGATCCGTAAAACAAGAAATAAAATTGGTCAGGCCTAAAGAAGCTAAAGGATAGTTATCTACCCATGCTCAGAGCCTGAAATTGTATCTTGTCATCTGTAAAAACTCACAAATTGGAGATAAACTTTTCTTGTTTCATTCGAATATAGTTGCAACTATCGTGGTGCTTGAGCAAGATGATTTGTATTCTGATGGTACAGGGAAGAATTAGGCTTAATTATGCACAGTTGTTTGCAATGCAATGTTAAAATGCCTTTGAATAATCCCACAGTGAACAAAGTCACCATTTCCTGCTTGTTTGACACATCATTGTATCCCATTGTGTAGATCTGGTCAGGTCCCAACTTCTCGAAACAAACTTAAGTCTAACTTTTGACTTAAGTGAGAGTTTTTACTCAAATTTGAGAAAACGCAGGAAAATGCATTTCCCAAAATAAAGTGAAATTGATATTAAACTCAAACATAGTAGACAATTTGAGTTTGGTGGATAGATTACTTTAGTTGTTTGGGCTTTTTTATTTTCAAGATGCAGTTGAGTTAAATATTCAGCTGTTTCAAATTGTAAAACTCAGTTTGAAATTTGAGTAAAAACTTAAGTTTGTTTCGAGAAATCGAGGTCTGATTATCTACAAACCGCCGCCATATTGCTGGAATATTGCTGAGTACGGCATTCAACAACAAACAATCACATTTAAGACTCTTCTGTGATGCTTTTTCTTAACTTGTGTTGAACATTGCTTGCAAGTCATTTCTGTAAAACTAAGCATTGAAACCTCTTCTTTCTTCTTGGTTGAGTAATCAGTGCAAGACAAGACACCTCTACAAAGACATGTATGATGTTAGTTTAGTCTACTAACATGAATCAAGGGGGAGAGTCTAATTCAGATTTTGTAATACATACTGACAGGTGATTCAGGCATGGAGCTGATTACTAAACTGATGTGTAGATAAATCTCTGACATGAACAGAGTCCAGGAGTTGGATAACTGTATGAAATGTTGGATGCTCAGATCAGTTTTCATGGTGTTTACGTTGCAGGGACTGGAACGGTAAGTTCCGCCACCCGACAGCGAAGCCCCGCAGACACATGATGAGCATGAGGAACACAAAGGTGATGAAGAAAGGCGTGTTTAACTTGGAGAACCTTCCCACGCTCCTACTGACCCATGCAGCAACCTTTTTCCTGGGAGCTGCTGTGTAAGTACAACAGTTGATGAGGAGGTGGTGATGATGGTGGTGATGATGTTGAGGAGGTGGTGGTGATAATGAGGATGATGATGAGGACGAGACGACACTAGTCAGGTTTGTCACACTTAGCAATATTACAACTATATGAGAGTGGTCTAAATAGTTGATGATGGACAAGATGGGGCGGTGGAGTAGCCTACTGGTTAATGCAATCACTCGCCACTCCGAAGGCCCAGTTCCATTCCCCACATGGGTACAATGTGTGAAGCCCATTTCTGGTGTCCCCTGCCATGATGTTGTTGGAATATTGCTAAAAGCGGCATAAAACCTAACTCACTCACTGGACAAAACAATCTAGTGATCGATGTCATGAGCATTGATTGATTTGCAAACAGAACACAATGACATTCATCAACCAAGTTGAGCCAGACAATCTGATCCCATTAGACGCCAATTATGACAACCTCTATCCGGTGGTGATGGTGGTGGCTGCAGTTTTGTCATCCTGAAGTTTCGCTTTCCTTAGCGATAATCTAGCTCCTAATTGGCTGCTAGGGCTACACCAATTTTATTTCTTGTTTTACAGATTTTTGTCCTCAGAAAACTTAAAGGCAGGACGGTAAAAAATAAAAATCACCAGTCAAAGTAATATTTTGTATATGGGGCAAAAGACAATCAAAACATTTTTTGCTGTAATTTACATTTTTGGCCAATAAAAACATGAGGATTTTTTTTTATGAGCGGGGAAAGCAAATTTTTATTTTTTTATTTTTCTTGAAAAAATGCGACCGGCAGATCCGTAAAGCAAGAAATAAAATTGGTCTGGCCTAATATAGAAATGAATTTCTACTTGTTTTTATCTCTCTCTGTTTGTTTTTTTTCCAGAATGTTCATGTATATCAAAAAGTACTGTCATCTGGCTGTGATTGCTCCTCCGACTATGGACTGATTGCTCCTCCTACAATGGACTGATTGACAGGTGTCAAAAATACACAACTGGTCTCAGCTTGGTCCCAGTGTACGGAGAGAAAGACATTTCAGAGCAGCGAAATTCAACACAAATTCTGCTCCAGGCTGAGACAGGACAGTCTTGCCCTTGTACTGCGAATATCAAGATAATAACAAAACGACACAATCTATAACATATAATGTGTGTAGCAACGTGTAAAACATTGATATTTAGCTGTAATTGTTTAATGCTGTTCAGGTATTTCTCATTGTAGCTGTGGTAATTTCATTTCCAGGGGGATTTGTTGATTAGGTGTTAAATTTGTTTTGAAAATACTTTTTATAATTTTAAAAAAAAGGCAATTCAGGTTTTAATCAATATTGTTAACTTTCCAATTCTTTTGTTTTGTTTATGCCATTCACATTGATATTAAATATGTCAGCAAACATGATAATGGATTTATTTGTTTTGTGCTTTGGTGCATGTCAGCAAAATCTTAAACTATTTCTCGGGTCATACATATTTTAATATTGAGTGCATTTTCATGAAACAGGGAACGTTGATTTTCCTATTGTCAAATGCTAAGATTTCATTGTACTTAATATTGAAATAAATAATTTAAATAGTTCTCATTATCTGTTTAATTGCAATATTCCAGTATCAATGATTTGATGTTTAACTGGTATTGTCATCTTGACCACAAGGTCCAAATTGCAAATGGCCGCCCTCTAGCCCATGGTCAGTAGAAGACAGTGGTGTTGGGTTGAGCCTACAATATAATTATGATCGCCATGACACATAAGCAGACCCAGACAAAGTGCACACCCTCCCTTTTTGAAGAACTCTGAACATTTATACATTATCTGTACAAACTGTGAAGTGATTATAACCAGTTACAACCCTTCTGGGGATATTTGTTTACCCAAACATTGGTACCATATTAAACATATTTCCAGGATTATTTGCATACATGTCATGCTTATAGTTCAACATTGGAGCTTTAAGTTTATCCCCCTTTCCAAGTGTTATATCTACACTCCATAGCAAACACACTCAACTGTGTTTTCTATAGGTAGGCGAGTGATTTTGCACACTGTAACGTGTATGTGTTTGAACATGTAACACTTGTTTTATACATGATGGCCTCAAATTTTATATCTGTGAGACGCTTATGCCTGTAAAGCTGTAAAGATTTATTCATTGTCATATCAGTGATTTAATGACTTACATATGGATCCGCCTCTAACGTTTTGCACAGTTAATTATCTTTTATGGTTCAAATTTGATGCTGTGATTTGTTCATCAGCAGAATTAGTTTAAAATTTGACCCATTTTAAGATTTCTGTGCTTTACAAACAGGGGTGTAGGTAGCCTAGTGGTTAAAGCAATCGCTCATCACGCCGAAAGACCTGGGTTTGATTCCCCACATGGGTACAATGCGTCAAGCCTATTTCTAGTGTCCCCCGACGTGATATGGCTTGAATATTGCTAAAAGTGGCGTAAAACTAAAACTCACTTTCTCACTGACTTTTGCAAACATCAAATTCACTTATGAGCTGAAGAACTTCTTTGCTGAACTTTCTCACGAATGTTTACTTGATTTTGTGTGCTTGAAACATTATGAAGCAAGTTTACTACTGTGGTGAAGTTGTCAGTGTTTGTTACTGTCTAGTTTGTGAAGTTCTTATTAATGTTCATGTGTTGTATTTGAAGACAGCTAGCGTGTGGTTAGAATCACTGTCCCCTGGGACATTTTGCTGCAACCACTTGTCTTTCAATATAAGCTGCGAACTTCATATTTGCCAATAGACCATGATGCAACACAACAAGGAATATTACAATATCGTTGTGATGTTAAATCTCCATGTTATAAATATTCATATTTTCATCATGACTTTTTGCAGTAGTCATTTATCATTGTCTAATAATGTTTGCATGAAGTCTTCATAAATTGAAGTAAGGGAAATTTAAATAATAATTATAATAAAGTTCATGGTATTAATTACTGGAATATTTCATGATTAGAGTTCAGTCATTGATTTAGTGTATTATTTGGTGGAAGTTCATTTTCCTTGTGAAATTGTATTCTTTTCAAATTGCCTGATTAACCAGGTGCCTTTGCATGTAAGGGAGGTAACTCTAGACTATTCTACACCCAAGATTTTACCTTCATGGCATTACACAGTTATAATTAATTTGAAGGGATTAACATGTATTTTAACGAGAATGGCAGTATAAATTAGACTCAATATATCCACTTCTGCCTCCAGCTAGCCCAGGGATTTGTCATAGCTGCAGGTTTTCAGTGTATTGGTGACATAACTGTTTAGATTTGTTTCCAAGTGCTGATTGTTATGTATGATGTTAAAATATGAATTAGCTTAGAATTATATTTAGTCATTTTGGATGTAAATGTAGCTTTATATGATTAAATGTAGGTTTAGTAAAACACTGTTTTCTTAAAAGTTGTCATGTTGTCAGGACTGGTCCTGTTTTGCAAGCTGTTACCATGGTTACACGAGTGATTCTCTGATTGATAATTCACCCTAATTGCTTTCATGTTAGCTTGTTTGCCATACATTGCCATGAGTGTAAGATACATAGACTAACACTTCGTCTGTTAAATTAACTTTTTTTTTCTTTCTTTTTTTCCAAAAAGTCCTTTCTTGTCATGTTTTTTCTGATATGGAATCAAGAAAACTAGACTTGTTTCAATGAGATCTGAATTTGCCAAGACAACTGATTTTGAAATATGAATTCCTGAGTCATATTAGATATTTCTAGGATGTAGGTACTCACCATTTTGGAGTTGCTTTTGTTTAAAAATATTGTTTCTGTATTTTCATTTGTATCTGCTTAGTGTTCAATGTAGTCCATTGCTTTTGTTGAAGTGCTATCTTTGCATCTAAGATAAATCAGCATTTTGTCAACCTCAAGTCTAACAGTGCTAATCCACCTTTTATCAGTCATAAATTTTTATTTCACAAATATTGTGTAGTTTTACCTTTTTGTGTTCTAGATTATCGAAGCATTTGGTGTTTTTAGTTTTTATTACCAGTATCCAAGACTTTTTCTCAATGTATTTATTTTGTGCAAGTATTACGGTGATCTGTAAATATGTTGGTCTTCAATCACAAAATTGTTTTAACGATGACTTGTTTAATCTTTTAGAATTTATTGAAAGATTTTATTCACTGAAGCTGTCTGTTCCTCAGTTGTGAGTGTTAAAATGTAAAATATTTTCATCAAAATGCTTCATATGTGCAAAATGGAAACAAAATTGGTTGCAAATGTTTGTTCCAATAAAAATGAAAATGAAACGATTAATACCTCATAAAAGAGGTATCAACAAAATTATATAACTAAACTTAAATATAGATCTGAAATGCATATATCTTTGGATCCCTCAAATCCATACTAAGCAAATACCTGTTTTGACAATCAGCTGACAAACAATAGTCATTGGTGTCATTTGTAATTTGACAGTTTCCAAGGTTGTGTATTGCTGTATATGGGAGCAGGTTTTAAGGACTTGAATATTTCGAAAAATGTGGCTTCATCAAGTTTTTATTCGATGTTAAGTATACAAACATTGTTTTTGGATGATAATATTTGGTAAACACAAATATGAATTTGTCACTAGACTATACAAAATAAAAAATATCATCCAGTGAGACATCTTTTTGTCATTAGCTGAGGAAGATGGGCCTCTGATGACGTTGTCGGACGAGGATTTCGAGAATGCCACATTTCCATGAGGTTCTTTTTACCGGTGATCCAGTAAGGTGACTTGACAGGGGTAGTGTGCAGTAAGACGTGTCCAAAAGTAACACTTAATAGGATTTGCATTTACAGATCCAGCTTTTCTCTAGTATTGGTTCCATATGAAATCACGGAAAAAATACTATTTTCCCAAAATGGATTTGACACTTTCAAATAATATTGGTCCTTTTATAAAGTACAATTTAGAATACATAAACGGTAATGATATTCACATGAACATGAATTGAACTTCACAATGTCAGCTTATGCTCTTAAGGTCCTTGTACTAAGAGCTTTATTACAAGAGTTCCTGATCATCACGGTCAAACAAAGATTGATCTGGTTGTTGCCTGTGATGGGCTATTTCAATGGTGCTGAGCAGGTCTGTCACAAAGAAGGTGTTAGGCATGGGAGCGGTTTATCGCGTGTACGCACAATTTATATTCCTGTTTCGTGATTGTGCTAAATTCATTCCCAACTATTTTCATGAAGCCATTTTGCTATCCGTAAACCATCCTTAAGTACCCAGGGTACATCTCTATTCTTTAATATATACCTCAAACCAATTTCTTACCATTGCTTGTTTTCAGCCATATTTAAAAGGCATGCTGCTAAAAATAGCTATCCAATCAAGCATGAGGAAGATGCTGACGGTGAAATCTCTTCCGAAACAAAAATTGTAGACTTTCGAGGTTATATTAAAATAGAAGAAAATTATGCTACTTTGTTTTATACGACCACACTTACTGCTATCGCGTAACATGAACTATAGTGTTATGAACAAAGTTCAAGTGTGCGTTATTATTTCTGAGTAGTATATAATGCCCTGAGTTATTAAGGATGTCTGTAATCCTGTCTTACAAGGACGAGCCTCTGTAAGACGTAAATAAACCACAGTTAACAACAGCGTAGCCAGGGGTCGTGGGATGGCGTACTGCTGATCATGGGGTGTCAGTTTGTGATCAGCGACTTCCAGGGAGGCGGGTTGTCACGATTGTGCATGCATCTTTAACTGCAGGTTTTCCTTGCAATGTGTGTTCTTTCAATAATGTATATGTTTCTTGTATTTGTATTTGGACAAATAAAAATGGTTAACTTGGACATTTGAACCTTTTTAATGACAGGTCTACTAGTTTTCACATGTAAAATCAAAAGTGTGTAATAAAAATGTCCTAGTCAGTGAGTGAGTGTTTGTCGTCTGTATACTGCGCTCCAGGATGCGAGGGTACAGTGAGTTGGATTTTTAGGCCATTTTTATGAAAATTGCAGCAATATCATGACAGGGATGCCAGAAATGACCTTCACCTCTAATGCTAAAGGGAAACTTTGAACCATGGCATGGTTAGAAACCCTTGGCCGTGGTCCAGACAAACCAAGGTGAAATCTGGGATTCAAACCCATGAATGGCACCTAGCCCCCTAAACTGAAGAGAATGAGTGAGTTTGGTTTTACACCACTATTAGCAATATTCCTGCAATTTCACGGTGGGAGACACGAGAAATGGGCTTCACACATTGTACCCATGAAGGGAATCAATCCTGGGTCTTCAGCGTGACGAGCAAACACTTTAGCCACAAGGCTACCCTACCAAACTGAAAGAGGCACAGGATCCTGGGAAATTAACTTTAATGTATCCCTGATTTCACCCGTGAAGGTCCGGGTTAGAATATTGATCTTCAGTAACCCATGCTTGTTGTAAGAGGCGACTAACAGGATCGGGTGGTCATGCTCGCTGACTTGGTTGACATGTCATCGGTTCCAAATTGTACAGATCGATGCTCATGCTGTTGATCACTGGATTGTCTGGTCCAGACTCGATTATTTACAGACTGACGACATCGTTACACAGACATTGTTCTCTCAGAAGTTTACAGGGGAACACAGAATATCGGAGAGAGCCTACCTTAGTGCAGGAAATGACTTCATCTCAGTGGGCTGACATGGGGAAATTCTGTACGTATGAGTGAGTTGGGTTTAACGCTGCTTTTAGCAATATTACAGCTATATCACGGCGGGGGGACACCAGAAATGGGTTTCATATATTGTACCCATGTGAGGAATCGAACCCAGACCTTCGGCATGATGAGTGGACACTTTAACCACTAGACTACCCCATCGCTCCCTGTATGTATGAATCTAGCTGTGGAGTCTCACAGGTTGATCTTAACTGCTTTAAGGTCTGGGAATTTCACCAAAGCCACCATTAGTTTTCATGTGTCTATATATTTTTAATGTATAAAACACAAATAGTATTGACATTACAGATTATCGCTCCATGGACTTCTTTCAAACTGCCCTGGGGAATTGTTTTGGCATGGGTATTGAAATGGTCAAGGTCTGTGGTTACACTTCCTGAATAAGGATTAATGCATTTATCATTAAACTGTACATGGTTCACCTTCTGTAATATTGGACCTTGCTTTCAAAAGGCTTCTTTCAAAATAAGTCAGAGGTCAAGGTCAGCATTCCAGTTTTGTAAAGAACAATGTTTTTCACAAAGGACACAGTAGCTGGAGCATGTTTCAAGGAGTACTGATATGATGGAAGCCTACCAGACAATCTTGTATTCCAGATGGCACACTAAAGTCATGCAGAGTACTGCTTGTTGCCTGTCTCAATCATGAGTGACTTTAGTTTAATGCCGCCTTTAGCAATATTCTAGCGATATCACGGCGGGGGACACCAGAAGTGGGCTTCACACATTGTACCCATGTGGGGAATCAAACCTGGGTCTTCAGCATGACGAGCAAATGCTTTAACCACATGGCTACCCAACACCCTGATTCAATCATGAAAAATTAATGCTTTCTGATTGGACATCTATGTTTAGTGCTCTGGTAAATAGGTCCAGAGTCCAGGGTAAATATGACAGAACAGAGGTTAGGTCACATGAAATGGAGTTTAATGTCTTGATCAAGTTAACAGCATTTATAGTGATGTGTGTGAATGCATGTGCGTGCATGGTGGTTTAATAGCACTAGCAAGATGAGATAACATATCTCAGTTTAACAAACTAAACCCCCTTTCAACAAAGATTAATAATTCCATGCTGACAAGTCCTTGTTTATGCCAAGTACCAGGCAGGGCACCAATAAGTAGCTTCTCGGAACATCTTTCTGTGATGCTGCTAAGGATTGAACTACCAGCCTGCTTACAGGCAGATGTTCCGTCTACTGGACTTCGAGGCATCCTGGGTTGTAGGGTAGCCTTGTGGTTAAAGCATTTGCTCGTCACACTGAAGACCCGGGTTCGATTCCCAGCATGGGTAAAATGTGTAATGCTTATTTCTGGTGTCCCCCGCCATGATATTGCAGGAATATTGGTAAAAGCAGCGTAAAACCATACTCACTCACTCAGAGGCATCCTGAAGACATTGATGTGGAGATGAAACAGCTGTAAGAGGTCAAAGGTCATGACATTCACAACAACAAACCATGTATCAATAAGTGATTTTTATTCTCAAAATTCACGATCCAATAATTTTGGGTTGGATTTCCATATTAGGGCTTACTCATCTCTCTCTCAAGAGAAAACAATCTTCCCAACAAATCTGAAACTTTATCCATCACAGTCATCTAGATTTGTTCTTGGACAAAGCGCGCCATTCACTCTACAGGAGGATACAGTCATGTGATTGAGGTGAGGTGAGGTGAAAGTTGGTTCAACGTCGTGTCATGTGATTGAAGGATGACATAAAGATGGGTACGCTCCAGATCCATGTTTGATGTTACTGTGTCGGTGTCACAGGGGGATGAAATACAATCAAGGAATATACTGTCACTGCCTTGATCTCAGTACCATAAAAAAGTCCTTTTAAGAGGACATTTAAGTTTTGTTATTAGAAAAGAACTAGTCCCTCTGGGATTTTCACTTGTCTTTGTCTAATGGTCTAGTGGCTGTGTAATACAACACTATCAAAGATCCATACACATTATTCTTTATGCAGAGCAAAGAGTTGTCTTCCCTTGAAATGACTCTGAAATTCACAAAATAGGACTGACTGACTGAGTTTAGTTTTAAGCCGCTTTTAGCAATATTCCAGCAATATCACGGCAGGGGACCCCAGAAATGAGATTCACACATTGTGCCCATGTGGGGAATCGAAACCTGGGTCTTCGGCATGACTAGCAAACGCTTTAACCACTAGGCTACCCCACTGCCCCCCAAAAAACAGGAAAGTGGACCTCTTACAAGTCATATGTATACAGTTAACATTCTTCAACTAATTTTGCAAAAAAATATCAAATCATGACTTGCCCCTAAATTCTTCATTCTAAAATTATACATTCTTTCTACAAATGAACAGTTCAGAGTAAAATTTGGGGATATTGAGAAAGTAAATATAAGTTCAGATTCACAACAGAGCAAAAATACAAAAACAAATATTCACTGTTACCAAATTGTACCTACAGAGGAATTCTCTCTGCACTTGAATCAACAACAGCTGGAAAATGGAAATTATGTGTAAAATTAACCTGCAACATTTCAAATTTGTAAAGTTATTGTCAACATTGCCTAGAATCATTTTCCCCTAATTGTTAAAAACTAAATAAACACTGTGGTCATGAACATCCTAGCAAAATTTCAACAAATTTGGTGAATTCTGAAACAGAGCAACTTTGCAACATATATGAAGTTAAAAACCACTCTATTTTTTAATACAGTTAATCTGTCACGACATGAATGGTTGACTGGTGATGTGAAATAATCGGACGCTCTTTGACATCTTTGAGGAGCATATATACTGAATATTGACAGTAAAACATGACGCGATATATTTGTGCGCTACAATCCATAGCTACACTGACATACAATCAACCATGTCATCGAACATGCCTCTGATTTAACAAAACAAACTTCAGTTTTGCATTTTGACTTACCGTAAGTTTTAAATTTTAAAAAAAATGCATTTCAAAAATTAAACTGAAATCAATACTAAATTGAAATTTCGTAGACAATTTGAGTTTGGTAGATAGGTTACGACTGTTTGGGTTTTATGTGTGTGTGTGTGTGTGTGTGTGCGTGTGTGTGTTTTAAAATGAGCAATTTTGAATTCTCGAACTTAGAAGTTTGAACAAAAACTTAAGACTGTTTCGAGAAATCAGTACCTGACCATCTGATGACCATCTCAATCACTGAGTCACCAAGCGTGACCACCTCAATCATTGAGTCACCAAGTGTGACCATCTCAATCACTGAGTCACCAAGTTGGACCACCTCAATCATTAAGTCACCAAGTTGGACCACCTCAATCATTGAGTCACCAAGTGTGACCACCTCAATCATTGAGTCACCTAGTCAGACCACCTCAATCATTGAGTCACCAAGTGTGACCACCTCAATCATTGAGTCACCAAGCCATACCACCTCAATCATTGAGTTACCAAGCCGGACCACCTCAATCATTGAGTCACCTAGTAGGACCACCTCAATCATTGAGTCACCTACTCGGACCACCTCAATCATTGAGTCACCAAGTCGGACCACCTCAATCATTGAGTCACCAAGTCGGACCACCTCAATCACTGAGTCACCAAGTGACCACCTCAATTGAGTCACCAAGTGTGACCACCTCAATCACTGAGTCACCTAGTCGGACCACCTCAATCATTGAGTCACCTAGTCGGACCACCTCAATCATTGAGTCACCAAGTGTGACCACTTCAATCATTGAGTCACCAAGTGTGACCACCTCAATCATTGGGTCACCAAGTCTGAATTATCTCTTACAACTAGTATATATTTCAGGAACTCATCGTATAGCTTACGCTAATAATCAACCAAATAACACATTGTAAGGTTACCTAGAACTAATATATATCATACATGGTGCATACACTTATGAAACACAAATATTGCTCTTTCAGATTTGGCAAATTTCAACATGTACACTTTCTGAATAAAACATACCACTAGGCCTGGATGACTTTTCACAACACTACTGTAAAAAATACACATCCTTTCCTTCACTTGTGTAGGACACAACAGCTCAGAGCGGTATCAAAGTGGGAAAAAACCTACTCAATCTTCTCATTTTGATAATAATATAATACATATTGAATTACAATCATGCGTAGAGTTGAACATCTAATCGAGAAGAATAGATGACACTCTTTTAATGAAACTTCTTATTCTTTGTAACAAAGTGTCACAGCCTCTTCTTGCCCCTTGAAATCTGTCTGGAACTATTCAGCAGATTGTCATCACAATTCTTTTTTCAGGCTTTTGCTGACCTTTCCACGACCTTGTTGAACCAGTTGGCGCAAACAAAAACAGTGATGGTTGTCCTGCAACCATGGCAACAATTGTTAAAATATATCACAAATGTTTTGGAGGTCCTTTACATTTTGTTCATGTCAACCACAACGTAGACACAATGATAGAATGAGATACGCACTCATCACACTGATGATAGCACTGAATCAATGGAGTTTAGGCATGGAACCCTGAAAACAAAATATCCATGGGATTCTTTCAGTATGCAACAGTAGCCATGGCAACACAAAACACCAGTTGATCTGGTCATCTGCACGACTCCACGAAAACTCCACCTGCACGGCTCCATGTAAACCTGATTCACTCCATGGAAACCTGAATAGCAATATGGAAACCTGTCTGGTCTATTGCAAACCTGATAGAATCTAGGGAAACCTGGATGGTTCATAAAGTAATCTTAATTTTATTTCACCAACACAGTTCACAACATGACACATACATTGTGTTTAGATTATGTACAGACATCTTTCAAATCTTTGTTCATTACTCTGATAATATACATGATGATGTACACGAACAACACGCTTAATAATGTTCCTTTCAAACAGACAAAGGGGGGGGGGCATGAATCTTATGGAAATATGTACAACTCCATGGAAATCTGCATGAAGCCATGGACACATGAATCAGACTCCATGGAAACCTACAAGATGCCAGATACCTGCTATCCACCATGGACACCTGCATGATGCCATTGACACCGACACCTTCATGACACAATGGACACCTGCATGACACCAACTTGGCACCATTGACACCTTCATGACACCATGGGCACATGCATGACACCAACTTGGCATCATTGACACCTTCATTACACCATGGACACCTTCATGACACCTGCATGATACCACAGGCACCTGCATGACACCTCATGCACACCATGGGCACATGCATGACACCATGGACACCTGCATGACACCATGGGCACCTGTATGACACCAAGGACACATTCAGAGGCTTGATGGGTGAAGCCTCAACTGGAGTTCAGTGATTCTTCTCTTGAGGACATCCCGAGAGTTCTGAAATTCCACGTCTTTAGTGATAGAGTTAGCATACCCAGCCTCCTTCAAGTGACATTCTAAATGATAGAAGAAGTTCTTCATGGACCAAGGATGAAAGTCCTCCCCATTACTCTTCTTGACCCACTGGAGGAACTCGCACAACATGCCATCCAGCTGTGAGGCAGGGATAGTGTTAATTGGTATCACCTCCTGGCCCTTGAAGCGTAGGAAGTTCTCAAACTGACGCACAGCATATCTCCAGTTCTGTTTTACGCGATACGTTGGATTTCCTCTCCTCTTGCGAGACCATCTGCAAGGCGTGTTGATCAAGTCATGCACCTGGTAGTTCGTACCGAGTCCAAACAGCGACTGCTGTGCAGCGACTGCGTGACCTTCACCCCAGTCCACGTCTGCTCCCTCCAACCTGGACTCCTCCATATGCCCTCTCCCAATGACGTTCTGGAAAGGAAAGGATGCATTTTGTGTTGCACTGGAAGTTGACAGCAAACCATTTGTTCTGGAGGTCATGAACATTCCTGGTCTCAACATATTCACAGGCATTGCGTTTGAAACTGAACTTGTGGCCGTTGCTGATGGTGAAAATATGGTGGATATCGGCGGCACGTGATACTGTCTGTCTTGAGTCTCAGGCCTGGTGATCCTGCTGGAGCTTACTGACTGACTTGAATGTTTCTGCAAAGACATTTTTGCATTACTGACAATATTTATTCTTTCTTTCAACTGTTGGGCTCCTAGAGAGGTCAGCCAAGAGCCTCGGTTACCTTGGTTACAAAGCCCAGAACTGCCTTGTATAACCTCATCCTCACAAACTTCCTGTTTGATTTCAATATTTTCATCAGGGTCATCTGACTCCGCTTTGAGCGGTTGATGCCCTGCACTGTCAGGAGCTGCAGTGTCCAGTGGCTCTGTGTGCGTCGGTTCAGTCGAGTCAACTCTTCTCAACATGCTCGCCTCCTGCCTCACACTCTCATTGACATCGCGGCTCGGGAACACAGACTCCATGATTCTCTGCCTGGAAACATACTGTGGCCTGACACTGTCTTCCTTCTGCTGTGTCTCCTCGCTACCACATCGGTGCTGAGTCACAGATCCATCTCTCGGAGTATTCTCCTTATCTTGCACATCCATCAATGTTGTTTGATGGGCACTCTTAACACCAGCCCCCTGAACCGTCTTCAGCACCTTGGTACAGAAGCTTTCACTGACCGTCTGCCCCTGTTTCTGAATCAACTCACTGAGAACGTACCGCTCCTTCTTGCTGTTGTCAATGTCAAGACAAATGTAACCACTGACCTCAACGACCTCCCCAAAGGTTAAGTAAGACTTGCACAAAAGCTGGACATGTTCTAAGAAAGAGTTGAAGAACTTGGCTGAATGCTGTGTTTCCATTTTGATCCTCTCTATAGCTCGTCACTATGGAAAACCTGCAACAACAAAAACATCTTTTATACATTACAAACAATGTTGACAAGCCATTTCAAGAATCAGTAGAGGGAAGGTGTGAGAATAAAGGGAGGTAACTCTTACAGTCTAGGTTTTGAATATTTCAGATTGATACCAACAACAAATCATTTGCATTTTGGATAAAGAGAAAACGCAAATTACTTACAATATTTTTTTCACTTCATTACTCTGATTTTAATAATCTGTCAATACTCACTTATCAAGTCCATATCATTAAGACAAATGGACTGTCTCCGTTATATAGTGACAGGGAGTATAGAGCATCTGTGCCAAGAGCGGAATGCCATTGGTTCGATACCAAGTAGTCCCGATCCACAAAATGTTTGTGGCGCCTATGATAAACTATAGAGTAGTGACAGGCTGTAACGTTACGAATGCCTTGTGAATCAGGCCCCAGGCCCCTGGGGAGGAACATAGTAGAGTATTCAGGGTGAATATTGTGTGTGAGTAAGTTTAGTTTTATGCTGCTTTTTGCAATATTCTAGCAATATCATGGCTGGGGACACCAGAAATGGTCTTCAAACATTGTATCCACGTGGGAAATCGAACCAGGGTCTTCAGAGTGACCACTAGGCTACCCCACCGCCCCCAACAGTGAGGATAGTGTGTCAACACAAATCCAGATGAACAGCAACTAAAGAGCATGACAAGTTCAGTGACACAGGGCTCGAAAATTCCACTCGAAATTTCTGCTTGTATTGACGAGTAAAATTTGTTTCGGGCAAGTGAAAAATATAATTTGCTCGTCCTAGAGGACCAGGGGTGGAAATAACTTTAAAATTGCTTGTGTACTCCGGTACAGTGGCACATGTAAAATCACTTGCCCTGATAATTTTTCCACTATACCGTTTTCTTGTTGATTTTTAAAATAAACAACATAATTAATATTGGAAAGTCAACTGGACACCGCTACAGTGTGATATACAAATTTGCTTGCCCAACAGAAAAAAACACTGGACTCGGGCGTCATGCAATGGGTTATTTCCACCCCTAGAGGACGAGTACGTTTTCTGACCCAAAAGTAACAGGATTTTTTTTGCTGTAAGTTCAGCTATCTTAAATGGCTAACGAATTCAATTTTGTGAAAGATTTTGTACAGAAGGCAAAGTAAGTAATGTTTATTGTAGTTTTATTCCAAGCAAACATTTTTATATAAAATAACTTAAATTTATATTCATTGTGATGCATGATCTATAGGGAAAGTACAATTTTAGAAGGACGAGTGGAAAGTTCATATTACTTGCCCTACAGGGAGAGTGCAGATTTTTGAATTTTTCGAGCCCTGGTGACATATAAGACTCAACCAACGCAAATTACTCATCACACCTGCTGATACCCAGTACTGTTCTGGTAAACAGGACATAGACCTAAACTGAAAAAGTAAAAGTGTGCAAAACCGAAGGTACAAAGTGAGGGAAGCAGTGAGTGAGTGAGTTCAGTTTTACGCCGCTTTTAGCAATATCCCAGCAATATCACGGAGGGGGACACCAGAAATGGGTTTCACACATTGTACCCATGTGGGGAAGTGAGGGAAGGAAGGCAAGAGGGAGCTGTGTTTAACACTACTTGCAGTTTTGTATGTATTACAATTGTGTTATATCATTTATATCATCAGGGTGAACCAATATTCAAACAGATCATATCCCCAACTGCGTCATACCAAAAGACGTTAAAATATGGTACTTGTTAGTCCCTGCCTGGCACTTGGCATTAATGGGTACAACAAGGGCTGGTCGGCACGGAGTCAGTATAATGTGTCTGAGTGGGGTATTCATTCTTCACTGTGGCATGGTATCTCAGTGGGCTAGCACTATAAAACCAGTTTAAGTCTGGGCTAGTACAAGCAGCCGCACATACACATACATATGAATGCACGTCGTCATATGAACGAAATATTCTCAAGCACGATGTTAAACCCAATATAACCTCACTTCACCTCACCTCAAACAGATCATAGATTTCTGGAGGGCCCAAGGGATGCAACTCTGCATAGCAAATTGCGCCATCTTAGATACTTGGGCCACCTGTGCCCCTACAGGGCAGTGGAACTGCAGTACATGGCAATTCACCTTTGGCTAATGGCATAAACCTGCAGTATTGCATCCTGATACGACGATGATGCAGTATTGCATCCTGATGAAGCCCACAGTACTTGACATGGATTTATGATCCATGCATTAAGATATGTACGATAAATCAAAATACAAATTATAAGCGTGTAATAATAACAGATTGTTCAATAACTAGCTTAAGCAGATTATCTAGGATTTCCTGGTTGGCTATGAATAGCATTACATTCACAGTTACCTCTAGCTTATATGTTTCCCGCCTACAATATCCGATCTCAGATCTTTGAAATTTGAAAACAAACCATTCAGGTTGTGATTCAATTGTATAAATGGACAGAGTATGAACATAGCAAATAAAAGTTTCGCGATATGAATTGTATCGCACCTGTATCATGATACCTACACTGTATCATTACTCCTCTACCCTTGGTACATTTCAAGGGTACCACAGACAAACAGACCCTATCTGACGTAGTTCATACAAACTTAATGCTAAATAACAGTCAAAGGTGATATACAACAGTGTAGAGCACCTGGGACAATACCTTGTTTATCCACGGTTCGACAGTGCCTTCTTCAGTATCATTCGCTCATCGGTTCTTACTCTGACATTTACAAATCATCGTTAAATAAGGTAAATACGGTATCTACGAACGCGGTATTATAACCCGACTTTCTGGACCCTATGACAGACCGCGCTAACAAAACTCAAACATAAATCTAAATAATTATCTTCGCGCTTTGTCCTAAACTTCAAAATGTCAGTGATTTATTCACATGCTTCAGTGTCAATTATTAATTAATATTGTCCAACTGTACACAGACACAAAGTCAATCACCTGTTAATGCAGCGTCATGTCATCATTGCATATAATTACTGGCGTTCATTATCCGTATTTACTGTCATTGATATCAAAACGTGTGTACAAAGAGGCGCAACTCTTTGCCAAAACAGCTGCCGAAGGAATATACTATACACCTACAACTACCAAAACTCAAATATCTCACACTTCGCGTTCTACTGAACTTGAGTGAAAAATCACAAACCCGAATGGGGTCATGTATACATGGCCACACCCATTGACAGTTTAGATCACAAATCATATCCCCAGTCAGACAAATAGATATTCATTATAAATACATAATATAATTACAATTAGTTGTAAACGTTAGAGCTCCCAACCAAAGCTTTTTCTAGTTGTTGTTGTTGTTTTGAAAAACAACAACGTTGGTCATGAAGAAATGTTCTACTTGGAGTGGTTAATATTATTTTGAGGGGAAATATCTTCACTCTATGTTTCTTTAAAGCTGTCCTAAATAAAAAGACAGGTTGACATATACGGATTTAGGATTGGATATTCTTTATTCTGTCAACGACTCTCCACAGATGTAAAGAAATTTAGTAACATTGTATTTAAGCGTGCATGTGTAATAGAAAGCATAACAGAAAATACAGACTAGCATGGTAGATGTTTGTTTCAGATGCTGCAAGAGCGAGACTACCCGTGGTATGAAACATCCATAAAGAATTGCTTTTGAGCAGAGTTCGCACAGTGGTCTTCTAACAACTGGAAACAAAATATCAGTCTCTCCCTCTGTTCGTTGTATAAACGCTTGGGCAGGATTGGGTTACTGACACATGCGAATGTTGGTATTTTCATATTCTTATATGCTAGGGTCGGCATAGGGTTCACGGTGCAATGTGACTAGTTCGAATCGGTATAAATATTTGGGTTACATACAATATTTGTGCCAAGTCTACAAATAGTGGCTGTGGTTATTGGACCATCTTGCCATATCCTAGCTAGCCTTTGGGGGTGGGGGTGGGTGGGAGAGAGAGAGAGAGAGAGAGAGAGAGAGAGAGAGAGAGAGAGAGAGAGAGAGAGAGAGAGAGAGAGAGAGAGAGAGAGAGAGAGAGAGAGAGAGAGAGCTATTTGTTGATTATGGACGAGATTTTACGAGCGTTTCTAGAGGATCCGATTTTGCACTTAGGACATACCTAGAAACATCTTTGATAAAGGATGCAAAAAATTGAACTTGCAAGTGTAGGCCCACAAAATCCCGCTTTGATATAAAGGATATAGATAAGATAGAGTATTGACGAGAGAGTAAAGATACGTTTTCAAATGGAGGCTTTCAATTGTGAGAGAAGGGTTTGACTGGATTCCCTTTTGTTGGAGGATGGAGTTTTTTGTACGGTAGAGCGTTTCGATTCCATTTATTTTTCATTTTGTATGAGGTAATTTTACGATGTGGATGTATATAGTTGGATTATTTGGTGATGATTGATGAGCTGTGATAATGTTTGAGTCGGTTATTATAATTAGAGGTAGCTGCGGTCTGTTTTGTTGTAACATGGAACTATTGCTGATGTCTTCCATAGTGGAGCGGGGACCCGAGCGACGTGAAGATCCGGGTTAGAATATTGATCTTCAGCAACCCATGCTTGTCGTAAGAGGTGACTAACGGGATCGGGTGGTCAGGCTCGCTGACTTGGTTGACACATGTCATCGTATCCCAATTGTGTAGATCGATGCTCATGAAGTTGATCACTGGATTATCTGGTCAAGACTCGATTATGTACAGACCGCCGCCGTTTAGTTGTAACATTGCTGAGTGGGGCGTCGAACAACAAACACACCATTTAAAGTCGTCAGAAATAAAAGAACAATGAAATAGAAAAAAAACACACACTAGGGATTAGTGCATTAGATATATAATACATACTTGTGACATCTGCATACTTATTAGAATTTGAGTTTAATGTTCTTATGGACAAATTGTTGTCTTGATTCGGTCTCTTCTGAAATGATATCAGGATCATGATTGGATTGACACCTACATTGGATTGATACCTACATTGGATTGACACCTACATTGGATTGATACCTGCATTGGATTGATACCTACATTGGATTTACACCTACATTGGATTTACACCTACATTGGATTTACACCTACATTGGATTGATACCTACATTGGACCTACATTGGATTGATACCTGCATTGGATTGATACCTACATTGGATTGACACCTACATTGGATTTACACCTACATTGGATTTACACCTACATTGGATTGATACCTACATTGGATTGATGCCTACATTGGATTGATGCCTACATTGGATTGATGCCTACATTGGATTGATGCCTACATACTGATTAAGAACCATGATGAATCTAAAATATCAAAAGATGGCTAATCAAGAAGCCGGCTTCGAGGTTCTAGAATTTATAATTTTTCATATTTGTTTTTTTTGTCTGTGTGCCATATGCTATAAAATCCCATCAATGCTGTGTTGGTTTTGCTTTTTCATTTCGAAAATGGTGGCGAATATTCTAATGACCACACATTATGTGTTTTGTTTCTTTGCTAAATCACAAACCATGGGCGGTGTCAAAACAGGAACGAGCATTCTAGCAATATTTATATGCATTTCGTATTAAATTTTAAATAAATAAATAAATAAATAAATAAATAAATAAATAAATATATAAATCACTAGTATTATCATTATATTTATCGTATTTTTCCTCCACGAAATCGCTTTAAATTTCTTAGCACTCTTTTCTTTGTAAATCATGGAAATCGTTCAACAAAACAATCAGATTGGAGGCAAAATTAATACAAACTTTTAGTGTCCAACTGAAATGTCGAGTACCGTTTGAAGGTTTCCGTTCCAAATTCTGAACAGTACGAGTAGTTTTCGAGTAAATCGTACATGAAAATTATCTCCCCCTTGTATTTGTTTCCGTTTTTCTCCTGTGCTGCGGGAAAATTTTCTGCAAAGAACAGCAAGATGTTTACGTCATTTAATCGGTGAACATTATTGTTTTCTGTAATAACTTATCAACGTTTATCCTAATTCGTATTTGCAAATATCATCAAATCAAAAGACTAACAAATCCTTTTGAGCGTTGGGCGCGCACCTGCTTCGACATGACGGCGCTTCAATCACTTCGATAGCCAAACCAAAAATGTACAATTATTGCTTTAGCGTGGGCGATTTTGGTTTGATTTGAATGTGCCGTTATTTGCTCATATCAGTATATATGATAACATCTAAGAATACGCATGATTTCCGCCTTGACTGTGGTTCTTAAATCCAGCCTACCGTTTTAGAGCAGCCATGAAAAAAATCGTCATAATTTCAACATCCCAGAAAATATTCAGTGCATATCTGTTACAACCAATGAATAATATTTATGTGTTGAACACGAAGTTAGAGTTTGCAAAACCTACAACAATATTTATAATTCTGCAATGATAATACCCTGTCAGTTGGTATAATGGAAGCTAAATGTGTGATTTGCTCACATGAATAGATCATTCTAACAAGTCATGTTTTGTATGTATGTTTGCAGTGTTTCAACTAAATACCATGCATAATGTAGTTGGATACATTCCACCAAGTCCATAACAAATAACTATCCACTATGATCAAGTCCTAATTAGGTTAATCAACCAGCATTCTCAGCATCTTTTTACATAATCAGTTATTGTCGATAGAGCAAATGACTAAATCATTGAAGTGCAAAAATACTTTTAAAGTGACAGTAACTATTAAAAAGAGCATATGTTCATTTCTGTGAGAACAGGTCAATATCGGCTAGTACTGGCATCATATTGAAGGAGTTACTGATTACAGTAAAAGTGATTATTTTGAATTGCTAAATAGTGATATATAATTAAAGAAACCGCCTAAAGATACCTGGGTTCTACTGGCACGTATGATAATTTACTGTCAATAATTGACTAAGTATACAAAGATGCCAACAACTACAAAAAAATCTTTCTTTTCAATGAATTATTTGCATAAAATATCAGAGCTCAAATAGTAACTGCACCTGTGATGTGAAGCATTTACAGCAAGACTATACTGAGCCATGAGAGCCATGTTTTCAAATCAGATAGTGTTAAGATATCCATGACTCAATGATAGGAGGCTTATGATTGGTTGTAATGTTAAAACACTCAAGTCTGGAGTCCAGTGATTGTACACATAGATGGATATTACTTCAGAAGTGTAACCACCATATTCTCTTTCTGAAAGAAAGTTAATTTATGTCATATGATGAATTTTATGAATATTTTAGACCATGTGTATAAGACAAAATATTATGGTTGTCAACGTCTTTATTGTATGCACAATCTTTCAGGGCTTTTCCCACAACATTGTGTTTACATTGAAGAAGAAGTTGACATCCATAATATTTTGTCTTATACTTGAATACCAACTTCTATACGCCTTCAAGAAACTCATTAGACGATGTGTTTCTCATTTTTCTGAGGCTAATAAAAATTTGAAGCAAAAACCTGCATAATGGCTCTCTTAGCATTAACCTGTTTTACTTTGTTTTATCTTCGCTGATTACTCCAAAGCTTCATCTATAATTGGCATTAGTAATTATTCATGGCCACCTATATGCTTACATATTTTTTGGTACTACTCAATACTTATGTATGAACTGTTTTGTCTAAAATATTTAATGAATATTTTTTACTTTTGTGAAACATGTAATGTTATGATTAGGTCTAGGTTATAGGCTGATGTTGTCTGCCATGTGTTGCGTTAAACATTTCAATATAATTAGCTGTACATTAACTGGCACATATAGTTTCGAACTTGCATAAGGTCAGCGATTTTCTAATTGAACAGTTCGGTCTCCAATTTTGACATTTGGCCAAGGAAAATTTGACGGTGGGTACCTATTTATTAAGCCTATTTTTCTGTGACTTTCGCACTCTGTAATTGCACAAGACTGTAACAAATGCTTTCATAAATATCTGGACTGTTTTGCTTTCCCATCCTTGCTTTTGATGAACAAGGTCAATGAAGGGCTAGTGGAGGTTAACTGCTGTTTAGGGTTGCCTCCCTTAGCTGTTTGCACTAACATGCCTTAGCCCAATCTCATTATAATATGATCTTGACTCAGTTGCGATGCCTCTCTGTATGAAGAATTGACAAGCCTTCCGATAGAAGGTTGTGTAAGGTGAATCTTAATCTAACTTTCAACACCCTATCAAATTGAAGAAGGTTGGGTTCTTGAGCCAATGAGATATCAGGTTTTCAGATGGTATAGCAGTGTAGGAAAGATAGCCTGTCCCAACATCCAAGACAGGTGAATTTTGTGGAGGACGGGTTAAAAAAATATCTAGTCCGTCCTCATGTCGGGTCAATTTTAGCAAACCAATGACATATATATAATGATTATAACCTTTTTGAATATTTACTGCCGAAGGTGTTTTATTTATATTTGGAGGACAGGCTAGATTTTGGCAGGACTGGTATCTGTCCAGTCCTGTTTTTCTACATCTTTCCTACACTGGTATAGGTTTATCCCTGAACCACCTCAGATTTAATTTTCATGAAAGAAAACACTGTGAACTATAGTGTGTCCTTGATGATGTAGCATTGAAGCTCAAACACTACAGCAGGTGTAAAATGTTCACATTTCATGGCCTTTATTATTTTCCATTCAGAAGTGCCTGTTTATGTTCATTGTTCATGTAACAGAAATCAGTGACTCTGCTTTCACTCATTCCAAATATTTAGAAGCCCCAACACTGATTGGCTGATTAGAAAGGTTGCCTGATGGATCTCCTATGGAGGGTTATTTAGTTCTTGATAGAGAGAGGTATTGTAATAGAGTAGAAGATCTGATTTTAATGAGATTGCTTTCTCATTCCTTTGGGTGATTATTGTAATACAAAAAGTAAAAATCAGACATTTTCCATTTCTAACACTAAATTGCTTGTAGGATGACCTTTTTGGGTTCCTGGTAATAATATTGCCCCCAGCCACCTATGCTTATCGTAAGACATGACTAAATGGATCGGTTGGTCACTCTCCGTGACATGACTGATGACATGTCATTGTATCCCAACTGCGTATGATGTCAATCACTGGGTTGTTTGGTCCAAGCTTAGTTATTTATGGACACTGTCCAGTAGCTGGAGTAAGTATAGCATTAAATAAATAAAACCCGATATACTATGGATTGGGTGGTCAGTTTTTGGTTATCGCGACCTGAGAGTGTTCATGAGACCTACCACGCAGACTGGTTCATTTGCAGGCCATGGTAGCATAGCTGGAATATTGCTGACTGCAGGGAAAGAAACCTTTCAAAAATCTCCCACTAGGCCACAGGACCAGTGAGTGGACAATAATTAGTGGTCTTGTCTGTACTTCACTGGTCCAAAATAACATTCGTAGATTTACTTAACTATCAAAACAAAATTCACTGGCCACCAGCACCACTGCAAACTTATCATTTAGTGGTCCTGATGAATTTTTACTAGCCATGGACCATAGGACCAGCATAAATTTTGCACACTGTGACTGTGGTGTGAGGAAACAAGCAAGAAAAGTCCTATCTGTCAGTTGATGAAACCTTAGAATGGTGGATACAAGACATATGTGGATAGTTTGTTGACATAAACATTTTGGTCTATTGGAGCCAACATCTTTAGAGTTTGTTAACAATTAGCTAACATTTAAAAGGGATTGAATTCTTTAGGAAAACATTTTCTTCAAAAGTTGAGCTCAGTTTCAGTTATTGTAAAATATGCTGTTTTTCTAGTTAAATTCTGAGGAAGTATACTGGTCTCTCAGCATGAAATTCTATCAAGTTTACAACAGAATAAACAGTTTAATATCTAATTGATTGCAGTATTTGTCAGAGAGGAATATTACAGTAATCAATTTAATTTGTTCTTTCCACTGTATTATTTTCTACGAAAGTTGTTCTGTTTTTCAACATCTGAAAATGTGAATTCCTTCTATTTCAGAAACTGATAAGACGGAGAGATCAGTCGACAATGGACAAACAGTATTCAGTGAAGTTCTTCACCAGCTTTCTGGAGAGCCTTCAAGATCATTGTAATAACTCCTTGGACTTTAAGGACTTAGTGGAGGTCAGTGGCTATGTGTGTGTTGAGATCGACAACGTGAAGAAGGAACGTTATGTGCTCAGTGAGCTTGTACAGAGCTGTGGCAATGTCATCAGTGAGAGCTACTGCACCAAGGCCTTCAAAACACAAGCTAGAAAGATTGGCATCAGTTCCAGGAAACGCTTGAACCAAGGTGCCAGTGAAAAGGATGATAATCTGAAATTTAAAGCTGTTGGCCCAAGTAATGTTAAATCACAGAAAACCCCAGACCATAAGGTGGAAGAGGAGTCTGGGCAAGATGCTGGTCTTGGGTTGAAAATAGCATCTGTATCATCCATGGCAGTGACAGGAAGGGGAATGTCGCCCACCCAGGAAAACGTTAAGAAGGATAAGGTGAAGGGAAAAGGTGAAGAACCTGAATGGGGATTTGAGGAAAGGATAAAGACACCGTCGAACATATTCCAGCCCAAATCAAGCCAGTACTCCCAGGATGGTTGGGAAGGGAGAGACACTTTTGTGTATGATATTCCTGCAGATAAAACTAACAATTCGGATACTGTCATGAAGAATGGAAAGAAATTGTCAAAATCATCCCATGTTGAGCCCAATTCTCCATGGGATCATGGTCAACAAAACCTTGACCTTGATAAGCTTCTGAGTGAAGGTCAGGAGTGGTCCCCGAACACTTCCCAAATGGTGACCATCTCTAGCAGTGAGGATGTTGAGATGCCAGAACCTTCTGATAAGGAGTCTGATGATGACCTGACCGTGCTTCACGAGCAGTACTTTACGGCGCAGATGTTGGCGCATACAAGTCGAGTTCCTGATGCCAGGCTGTTTCCCCACAAGGCAAAGACTCCTGGGCCCCTCAAGTCAGCAGATGAGCTTAGTGTCTCCGAACCTTCACCATCCCCCTCCCTGCAGAT